ATGAAAAGGGCTATTTTCTAATAAAGATGGAAATTTGAGAGTATAGGTGTGTTTTTTTTATCTTCAATATCACATTATTTACTTATATAGCTTCTGATATCCTACTACTTGTGATTATAGTTCACAGGTAAAGTGGGGCTAAATGAAAAGAAATGAACAGATGCTAAAAAGGAAGTGATTTAGCAGCTTATAAAGAAGAGTAGCTCGTAGTTTGTTGGAACTCAGAAATTACATAATAGCACTACATATGTATATATATGATATATATTTTAAAGATATATTTTTCTTTTGTACATATGTATGTGCTTTATTTCTAGTAAAATAAAGAGGAAGGGAGAAGGAGATAGAAACATCAATGAGGAAAGAGAATCATTGATTGCCTGTCTGCTGAACGTCCCCCACTGGGGATCAAGCCTGCAACCTGGGCATGTGCCCTTGACCAGAATTGAACCTGGGACCCTTTTGTCCACAGGCTGACACTTTATCCACTGAGCCAAACCAGCTAGGGCTCTAGTAAAATATTTTATTATGGAAAATTTTAAACATATACAAAAGTAGAGCAGTGGATTTAAACCCCATATATCTATTACCCAAACTAAAATACTGTGGACATATAACCAATTTAGTTTTTTAATTACCCCTTTATTTCTCATTTCCCCTTCTCTAAAATTATTTAGTTTTAAATAATTCCCAAACATCGTATGATTTTATTCATAAACACATTAGTTATCATAGTTATTTAACACAGGAAATGTTAATGTGTTTTAGTAGAAATGCTGTAATCTTCATAGCTATTTGATGTTGAGATATTAACTGTAAATATTTGTTTAAATTCATGGTGATCTTTGGTTCATCATATCAGGTTATAAATTAACCAGATTATCAGGTTCAGATTCAGGCAGATAGTCTTCCAAATTGTTCCTGGCTTCTTCAGAAGGTCAGGACTGTTCGAATGCTGTTAATAATTATATTAAAAAAATCAGTATAACTTTTATGATAAATTTAACAAAAACTCACAAGTAATTTTTGTTTTATCCTTTTGGGATTTGATTTAATCTTCCTTTATAGACACAGAATTTGGTAAGCCTAATTTCTTTTATCTTGTTATCCTCCTTTATTCCTGGCACTAATAAAACTTTCTATATGATGCCAATAAGCTGGGAGAGAATTGGGGACCTCACTTGCCCTGGGTGAGGACTGGGCTGCCTAGTGGTGCTGTGAGAAGTAGAGCATGACATGTTGTAGTGATGTTTTCATCTTGGAATAGCTCCTGATCTTGGCTTTCCTGTAGCTGAGGGCAAATTGGGCATCAAAAGGAGGTGGTTGGTGTGTTGGGATGCTACTTTCTGAGAATCAAAATATTCTAACTTCTGAATTAGTCCTTCCATATGTACTAGCAAGATGGGGGGGGGGAGGGTAAACCTTAAGGACAGAGAATTCCTTATCTTGGATCTTACTGCTGGAGCTGTGGGCTGCCATGCATAAATGCTTTCTTCACTTGGGGCCTGGAAGAGCCACCTCCCCATGGGGGGAGAGGCTCTGTGTCCTCTCCTCCCATGAGTTGGGGGTCACTGCACCTTAACAGGCCAATTGGTGTATCCCATCTCCTCTCCCCACTTCCTTGCTTCTATGCAGTTGGCATGCCAAGAGGGCCTGTCCTCCATTGTATTCCCTGTACCCATGTGGTAAGCACACCTGGGAGGGCCCATCCCCTGCCTGCACTGCTGCCACCTTTCCATCTGTGTGGGCAGTCAGGTGGTCTTCTCAGTGGACAAGGGGGAGTAGGAGGCCTCATGTAGGTGTTTCCCGTAGCCCTCCATTCTACCAGTGATTACCAGGCCTGTTTGTAGAATATGGGAGACTTGACCAGTTATTACTAAAGCAATGCAATTCTTTCAATTTCTCTGTTACAAAGGATGGCCTTATATAGCTATCTTAGCGTAGGTTGTGGATTATTTCCTCAGGATAAATATCTTGAAGCAGGATTGCTAGGTCAAAGGCTATGCTTCTTGTATTTTTTTTTTTTTTCAGAGAGAGGAAGGAAGAGGGAGAGAGAGATAGAAACATGAATGATGAGAGAGAATCATTGATAGGCTGCCCCCTGCATGCCCCCTACTGGGGATCAAGCCCTCAACCCAGGCATATGCCCTTGATCAGAATTGAACCCGGGACCCTTCAGTCCTCAGGCTGATGCTCTATCCACTGAGCCAAACTGGCAAAGGCTATTTCTTTGATTTTTGTTGAACTCCTTTTTGATATGTTGTAGCTAACATGTTTCAAATTAGGGAGTTCATGTCAAGCAGTAGGCACATTTTCTCAGGTTTCTATCCTGTGAAGATTCCTGTGTCCTCACACCATGGACCTATTTTCTTCTTTTGTGACATTGCTTCTCTGTGTCAAACCCCTGCCAACTAACTCTAGGTCCCCCACCCCCCCTTTTGTAATGTCTTGTCTTTTCTTTGCTTTTCTGTCCTGCGTCTCCTCTGTGCAACATTGTTCCTTTGTTGCTATTGATCAGGGTTATGCTTGATCATTTTAACAAAAATCACTGATCCCAGCCTTATGTACTCCCCATTGCTAGGGATCCCCCAGATGGGACAGTTCTATAAATCAGCTCTCAGGGTTGATGGGAAGGGAGCACACTACAGCTAAAATTGTAGGTCGGATGTCTCTTACAGGAGACCTCTGACAAAGCAAGAGGATGAGAGAGTTGGGCCATCCTTTAAGTATCTGATACCTGCCACTCCCTGCTCACATCTCTGTGGTTTTCACCTGATTCTGATAAGGAAGGGCCTGCAGGGTGCACTCTGTCAAACATAGTGATCCCAGAGCCGGGGTGATGTTGGGGTTCCCCCCCCCCAAATGGACACTATTTCATCTTTTAAGCACCTCTAGTATGTCTGATGATGTGAAAAATGTCAGGAAAGAAACTGATTAGATTTAAACATCAAATAAAAATTTAAACATCAAAAAAAAAAGTCATCATAGAGGTTTTTCAAACCACTTACCCATCTGTTTGGTAATTTACCTTTTTCCTTGGTGCATTAGGTCAAATGCCTCATTGATTTTGTCAAAAGGCAGGGTATGGGTCACCAGTGCATCCAGGTTAAATTTCTTATTCTTGTAATCAGTAACCAGCTTTGGGATTGAATCTCTACCTTTGCAACCTGTAATTTGGCCAAAAGTCTTAATAAAGATGTGGTACTTGACATGAAGAAGTAGTTTCATCATTGTCCATTGAGTGAATGAAATTATTTTGTCAGATTGGCTTCCTCCAAATAGATTAAAACCCATATTTAATTTTTCTATACTTTTATTTACCTTAAATTTTTCTTCATAGGAGAAATTCAAGATTATTTTTATTTCTGCCTAAGAAATGATCTTTGTTTGGTCCAAGTTTGACTTTTGTTTTTGTTGGTTTATTTTAATGCAAATTGAACTTCTATTTGCAAGTTGTAGTATTTCTACTATACAAACTGTTTACTTTGAAGTAATTAATAGAATAGCTTTTATGTAGTCTTTAGATGCATTCTAGGCACTCAATATTTAACAAGTTATTTTTCCTTCCCTTTTAATAATTTTCACTGTAACAATTTGAGTACTAATATGGAGAAAATTAGCAGAAAAAAATGACAACACTGACCACCAAATAATGTTCCATTGATAGTACGGCCCATTAGTATCTCTATTGGAGAAACAGTCAATCCTTTGTCACCAATGGCTACTCCAATGAGCGTACACGATCCCCAACCTACTGTTGTGCAGTCCAGGGCTGCTTTCTGGAAGGTCAAACAAAAAAGATCAGTCGAGTAGGTAGAAAGGTAGACCATGTCTTCAGTGTGCCTATGTACTGGATTTCATTCTGTATCCTATATA